GAATCCTTGCAGTCACGAAAGCTTCAAATCTAGAAACAACACTTTCTACTTAATTAAATAAACTTTTAAATACATGTTTTCTCCTACAACATCAGAGTGCAGCGCCACATTAAATACGCACTACAATGACAATAGTTTAAAGCGATTTGAAGCATCTTTTACTTTAGGGGGGGGGCAGAGCTTTGTGACGTCATATTTGAGGGGGGTCTGACTTTTTGTGACGCCGTGTGACGAGGGGGGTGGGGGGTCAAAAATCGTCCAATTTCGCGTGACGTCATTTATGGATGGCCCTTTTATACAAGCGAGGTGCGGCGACGCACGAGAGGTTCGCGAAGTGCTGCTCTATGAACCCGCCAACCCGAGTTCGATTCCCGGCCAGGGCTAACATCATTTGCGAGCCACATCTGAAACGAACTTGAAGCTGGCACAGCGTGTGTGTGCATGTGCTGCATCAGCGTTGGGGAGACAAAGGCGGCCGGGCGTGGTTGCTGCTCACCCACCTCTATAGGTGCTCGCTCGCAGCACTTGCACCACCAACACGAAGGCGACAGGATGATGCGTGTTTCAGACAATCAATCAGGCCACACGTACGCGTCGGAATATAAACCTGTGTTGTGCTATGAAGGGGGGATATTGCCCGAAACGTCGACCAGTACATATATATATAATTTTCATATTCCAAAGCGGAGCGTTGCGACCTCAGGCACAAACCGGGAGGGGCCGCGTGGTGATGATGCCGCCGCAAAGGTGGCCCAGGTGGTGGTCACGTGCAGGACGCGCGACTCCGGGACCACCGCTCTGCACCGCGGATGAATCGCGAGATCCGTGCGGCGTCGTCGACGTGCGCGTTGAACGTGCTTACGTCGTGTTAGCGGCGATCGCAATGAATTAAAAACGAAAAAAAATATATTTACATTTTTTTTTGTACATTTTTTTTTACCCGGGCGATGCCCGATTTTAGCACGCTCTAACGCACATCCCTTGTGGTGCGTTACTCGTTGAGCAGTTTTACGTGAAGATACTCGCAGCCCCGAATAGCACGGTTGGCTACGTACGGTGCGAAAGAAGTTTAGCATGCATACAAATACATACAACCGTGGGATGCGACTCTTATGTTCACATGAGTGGATACATCGCAAGCTCCTTGTCGTAGTTCACTGGTTGTGCGGCCACTACGCACTGAGCCCTGTTAACCCGAGTTTGATTGCCGGCCACGGTTAGCATCAGCGGCGAGTTATATCCGAAGCAGATTTGGGAATTGAACCGGCTGTGTCCCGTATCCTTCCTCACCTTCACCAACCAGCGCTGACCAGCTCAGCACGATGTGTGTGTGGCAGATGTGCTATCCAGCAGTGGATTGACAGAGGGGTGTACAGTATTATTAGTATTTGCAGTGGGTTATGCCTGAATTGTTATTGATATAATTACTGTGGTAATCGTTATAATTTGTATTACAGAGTTATCATTCTCATCTAAGTGTTTGTTTGTACTTAATGGTGATGATAAATGATCCTGAACACTCTACAGTTATTACTCTACTGATGTAATGACTGTAAGGCTTAATCTGCACAGCGATTGTCATGTGTGTGTGTGTAGGGAGCGGTGGCGCATTGGTTAGCGGACTGCGCTACGAACCCGGCCACCCGAGTTCGACTCCCGTTCACGTCGAACACCAGTGCCGTTTTTCTGAACCGGGCCATGAGCCTCCACTATGTTGACTCAGCCTCAAATGGTGCGGCCTATAAACATTAGCACTCGGGAGACAAAGACGGCCGGGCGTGGTGCTGGTCACCCACCCCCTCGTGTGCCATGCAGGCCTTCATAGGTGCTGCTCGCTAACGGCACTTGCCCCAACAGTCTGTTGAGGCTATACGGGGGATCTTTGTCATTGTCTTCTATGTGTGCGTCTATACTTGGGTCGACTCAGCCTCAAATGAGTACCTGGTGCGGTGTGTGTAAACATCGCCTCTGGGGAGACAAAGGCGGCCGGGCGTGGTGCTGGTCACCCACCCCCTCGTGTGCCATGCAGGCCTTCATAGGTGCTGCTCGCTAACAGCACTTGCCCCAAGAGTCTGTTAACGCCATACGGAGGATCTTTGTATTGATATACATCCTTGTAAATAGGTATGCATGTGCGATGTGTGTGTGTTTTAATGTGTACGGTACGTACGTGTGGATGTGCATATGTATGTTTTCGTGCATGTATATATACGTGACATGTGCATGCTTGTTAAACGAATAAATACGGCGTATACACATACAGACTGTCGAGACACAAATGCACAAGCTGATCAGAGCTCTGTGCGATCGAAACGTCGTAGTTTTTTTGTATTTTTTTGTTATTTTCTTTGAACCTATCTACGTGACTTCACCGAAAGACCCAAGAAGATGAACTCTTGCAGTCATGAAAGCTTAAAGTCAAGATTTGACCATGCATGTGTCTGTATGTCTATCTGTACACGTATGCGCACCTCTGATCAGCACTGTTGGCTACGTACGGTGCGATAGAAGTTCAACATACATTTATACTGCACATGTATCAATGTTTATGCGTATACAGTGCACACACGTGTGAGCATTATTGCTGTCTTGCTCCACGCCAAATGCCATCTCTCCATATTTCTCATCGCCATCCTCAAATCCATCCTCTTCCTCATGCCCATGCACACTCCCTACCTCACCCCCCATCTCACTCTCCACTCCCGTTCTTGAACTCATCTATCCTCATCTAAACCCCCAATCCTACCTCGTCATCACTCAAATCCCCACCTCATCACTCACACCTCCCCCTCTGTCATCTCCACCTCGACGTCCCCATCCCGTGTCTCACCTCCACCTCCATCTCCCATATCTACCTCTGTCTCCCCATCCCGTGTCTCACCTCCACCTCCACCCCCCATCTCCACCTCTGTCTCCCCATCCCGTATCTCACCTCCATCTCCCATCTCCACCTCTGTCTCCCCATCCCGTGTCTCACCTCCACCTCCACCCCCCATCTCCACCTCTGTCTCCCCATCCCGTGTCTCACCTCCATCTCCCATCTCCACCTCTGTCTCCCCATCCCGTATCTCACCTCCATCTCCCATCTCCACCTCTGTCTCCCCATCCCGTGTCTCACCGCCACCTCCATCCCCCATCTCCACCTCTGTCTCCCCATCCCGTGTCTCACCTCCACCTCCACCCCCCATCTCCACCTCTGTCTCCCCATCCCGTGTCTCACCTCCATCTCCCATCTCCACCTTTATCTCCCCATCCCGTGTCTCACCGCCACCTCCATCCCCCATCTCCACCTCTGTCTCCCCATCCCGTGTCTCACCTCCATCCCCCATCTCCACCTTTATCTCCCCATCCCGTGTCTCACCTCCATCTCCCATCTCCACCTTTATCTCCCCATCCCGTGTCTCACCTCCACCTCCACCCCCCATCTCCACCTCTGTCTCCCCATCCCGTGTCTCACCTCCATCCCCCATCTCCACCTTTATCTCCCCATCCCGTGTCTCACCGCCACCTCCATCCCCCATCTCCACCTTTATCTCCCCATCCCGTGTCTCACCTCCACCTCCATCTCCCATCTCCACCTCTGTCTCCCCATCCCGTGTCTCACCTCCACCTCCATCCCCCATCTCCACCTTTATCTCCCCATCCCGTGTCTCACCTCCATCCCCCATCTCCACCTTTATCTCCCCATCCCGTGTCTCACCGCCACCTCCATCCCCCATCTCCACCTCTGTCTCCCCATCCCGTGTCTCACCTCCACCCCCCATCTCCACCTTTATCTCCCCATCCCGTGTCTCACCTCCACCTCCATCTCCCATCTCCACCTCTGTCTCCCCATCCCGTGTCTCACCTCCACCTCCATCCCCCATCTCCACCTTTATCTCCCCATCCCGTGTCTCACCTCCACCTCCACCCCCCATCTCCACCTCTGTCTCCCGATCCCGTGTCTCACCTCCATCCCCCATCTCCACCTTTATCTCCCCATCCCGTGTCTCACCTCCACCTCCATCCCCCATCTCCACCTTTATCTCCCCATCCCGTGTCTCACCTCCATCCCCCATCTCCACCTCTGTCTCCCCATCCCGTGTCTCACCTCCACCTCCATCCCCCATCTCCACCTTTATCTCCCCATCCCGTGTCTCACCTCCATCCCCCATCTCCACCTTTATCTCCCCATCCCGTGTATCACCTCCACCTCCATCTCCCATCTCCACCTCTGTCTCCCCATCCCGTGTCTCACCTCCATCCCCCATCTCCACCTTTATCTCCCCATCCCGTGTCTCACCTCCATCCCCCATCTCCACCTTTATCTCCCCATCCCGTGTCTCACCTCCACCTCCACCCCCCATCTCCACCTTTATCTCCCCATCCCGTGTCTCACCGCCACCTCCATCCCCCATCTCCACATCTGTCTCCCCATCCCGTGTCTCACCTCCATCCCCCATCTCCACCTTTATCTCCCCATCCCGTGTCTCACCTCCACCTCCATCCCCCATCTCCACCTTTATCTCCCCATCCCGTGTCTCACCTCCATCCCCCATCTCCACCTCTGTCTCCCCATCCCGTGTCTCACCTCCATCCCCCATCTCCACCTTTATCTCCCCATCCCGTATCTCACCTCCATCTCCCATATCCACCTCTATCTCCCCATCCCGTGTCTCACCTCCACCTCCACCCCCCATCTCCACCTCTGTCTCCCCATCCCGTGTCTCACCTCCATCCCCCATCTCCACCTTTATCTCCCCATCCCGTGTCTCACCTCTACCTCCATCCCCCATCTCCACCTCTGTCACCCCATCCCGTGTCTCACCTCCATCCCCCATCTCCAACTCTATCCCTCCATCCCCTGTCTCACCTTCACCTCCATCCACATTTCCACATTTCCACAATCCGCCGCGCGCCTCATCTCCCGTCTTTCCCCGTCCCCCAAACCCTCGCTCCTCCTCCCCCTCCTCCCGCCGTCACCTGATCCGCCACCGTACGCGGTCGGAAATCCGCCGCAGGTTTTCGCGAGACCGCCTTCCTCTACGCGGTGTCGGCGGCCGGCCTGGGCCACGCCGTGGCGCGGGCCTGCAGCCGCGGGCGACTGGAGCGCTGCACGTGCGACGAGACGCCTGGCCTGGAGAACCGCCAGGCGTGGCAGTGGGGCGGCTGCGGGGACAACGTTCGCTACGCCGCCAAGTTCGCGCGCGCCTTCCTCCTGAGACATGAGGCCAGCAAGGACCTGCGCGCCGGGGTGGACCGGCACAACACTCACCTGGGGATCAAGGTGAGCCGCCTGCCGTCGAGGGAAATAGGGAAGGGTGGGGGAGGGAGGGAGGTGGTCATTTGTGGGAAGGAGAATTAATGGGTGGGTGGGTGAGTGCACGGAGGATCGTGGTGAGTAGGTCGCGTGTACGTTTGTATGTCGTTAACAACTCGTCACCATGGCGAGATGTTAACTACCTTGCCTGGTATACAGGAGTTCGTGGGTTCGATCCCGACCCTGACGCCTGCTGTATACTTGAAGTTTGCGTGTTTTCCCCACGGTCGCGTGGACTTTTCTCCAAGTACTCCGGTTTCTTCCTCCACATTTAGTATCAACATCACGCGTTTAGAGCATCTGTGCTCTGATACATTTCTACATGATAAGCCATTTCCTTGGGATATCGTTTGTAGCCAGGTCGCTTCTGAAAAAGAGCTGCATATCTTAGTGGGCCTTACCTGGTCAAATATAAATAGTTGATACATTGTTTGTACATTGAACTTCTTTCGCATGTAATATAGCCGGCCGGTGAAGGCCGGTGGGTGGGTTGATGGTGAGTGAGGGGAGGAGAGAGATACAGAGAGGGGATGGATAATGGGTAGTGAGTGGGTGGGTGGGAGGATGGGAAAGCAAGCGGCTGGGGGTGAGTGAGAGAAGCAGAAGTAAGGCAGTTGTTGTGGTCGGTTTGTGGTTCCTCTGGAGGGTGGTGAGTCTGGGGATGAGTAATAGGTTAGGTGGTTGGTTAGTAGAGTGGAAGAAGGATCATGGCGAGTGGGTGATGACTGTGGGGAGATGGGTGGTAGTGGGTTGGTGGGTTGGTTTGTAAGTTCATGGAGGAGGGTGGTGGTGGTGGTGGTGAGAATGATGCGGGAAGGAGTAGCCTGGGGGAGTTGTGGGTATTGGGGGATGTTCTTGTTGTGGTGAAGTTGAGTGATAAAGGTGAGGTAGGCACGTGGTGATGTATTGATGGGAGTGAAGCCGTTTGCATCTCAACTGCAGGTGACGTGTACCTGAATGTTAGTTTTGGGGTCAGGTGCCTGGGTGAGATATATTTTGGTGTAAGTGTGAGAATCACCTGAATGTGAGGTTTACCTGGTGTTGATGAGATATCAACAGGTAATTTTGAACCTCTGGTGACTAAAAATCTTGGCAAAGTATGATTGATTCCGATGTGTGCATAACGGGCGCAAAAAAAGTATTAATGGTCTTACTGTACCATCGAACATTATATCATGCAATCATTCATACGAATGCCCGCACCTGTGTTTTTTATTGGAAACATTGTTTACATAAGCAAGTAATTTAGTTCATAAACATGCTCGGTTACATCATAGACGAGGGCACATCCTCGATTCACATGTAACGCCTTGGCCTTGACACTGTCATCAATAGGCGATCTGTGCAGAATCTCGAATCGACCTAGGTTCATATATGACTCGCCACTGCAGTGCCGGATTATCCGAGTAGCAAAAGTACATATGCTTCGGGCCCCGCACTTTCAAGGGCCCTGCGCTAAATACTTTCAGGCTATCGATTCTGGTTTAGTGATTTTGCACTTGCTCTATTACTACAGTACTATACTGCCTTCAACTTTCATGAACGACTGGGTGTTTAAGGTTAACGATTTGTCATATTATCTGACTGGATATCGCATAAAAAATACAATTACTTTACTATGCAAGTAAAAAAATTTGTGTTTTAATATTTACGTGTTTTTTTATTTTCAATTTAGGGCCCCTTTATAACATATGCTACAAGCCCCGCACTAGCTTAATCCGGCACTGCGCCGCTGATGCGTTCCATTGCATGGGAATCAAACCCAGGTCTCTCGCTGTTAATAGCCGCAGGCCGCCAAGAACGACGCCGCCACTCCCGCGAGTAGGTTAACAACGCACGCTCGCCAGGGTCTTAGACTCCAAGCGATTGCAGACCCATTGTCTCCCCCCCCCCCCCCCCCACAGTGCCCAGAGCTTACCTCTTGATTCCATTGCAGCATAGCGCGGGGGGGGGGGTGAGATCTGTCACGCGTGCGCGTTAACGGCACGCGGACTGTGTGCCTCATGCTCTTCGTTCGGTCAAGTTGGACTTGTTGTAGATCAAGTGGTCGAGTCAAGTTTGTTTGTTTAACCGGTTGAGAACTCAAGAGACCAAACTAAACTAAAACTGCAGGTTTTTTTTTAAACCAGATATTATGGCTCTTTTTCAGAAGCGACCTGGCCATTCCAAATGATAGCTCAACGATGTGGCTTTTCACGTGAACATTTAAAGCAGCTAAATGCTGTAAACGCACGTTGATTTTACATGTGGAGGGAAAAACCGGAGAACCTCGATGAAAAATCCACGCTACCACGGGGGGAGAGGCGTCAGGGTCGGGATCGAACTCACGACCTCCTGTATGCCAGGCGAGGTAGTTAACATCTCGCCACCGTGGCGACCAGGATGTGTCTCAGTTGCAAGGGGCGCTACGCGGTGCTGCTGGTGGTGGTGGTGGCGCTATTTGGTGATTTTGTAAAACAAGTGCGGGTGGAAGAGCGGCGTAGTGGTTAGGGGACTGCGCTACAATCACCACTGATTCCCGGTAGTGGCGAACATCGGTGGCGAGTGATGTCTGAACCGGTTCCAGGGCACCCCCTTTGCCAAACCACGCAGACCAGCGCGGTTAGGTATTGGCAAAGACATCCCCATGAATGACACGGCTTGAGTAGGTTATGGATTGACAAAGAGCCACGCATTTATGTATTTAATGGGCAGTGGCGTTGCTAGCATCGCTGTCTGTCTGTCAGTAACTCGGCATGCAGTGATTCTACACAGGGCCCCTCCCCCGCGTCTCCCCTTTCGCCAATCCTGACGCCCTCCCACCCAGCAATTCAATCAGTCGTCACCAATCAGGGCCACGATTCGATTTAATAAAATATTCTTTCGGGACGCAAGTTTACCAACGTGTTTGTAATGTTTATACCAATATATATCGTTTGCAGACGTTTTGCTCGCTTCATCGATCTAAAGTCTAATACAGTGTTGGCAAATCATTTGCTTATACTCTATTAAAATGTGCACAATTCATAAGCCATAATTTCTCAGTTTTCATGACCACGTGCATCGTGATCGTAAGGATTGACGTCAATCAGCGAATCGATGCCTCGTCATCAGTGGCGTTGCGAGGTTGACACGGGCGCTGGTGGAGGAAATCAACCAGGACCCTCAATCCAAGTTACCCGGGGCCGAGACCCCTCTGGCCCATGGGCCCTAGGTGCCGTTGCACCGCCTGCACACTCGATAGCTTCTCTTAGTCACTGACCGAGGCTGCTCACCGTATTCAACGTTGGCTGTCATCATCGCCTCCCTCGCCGAACACCTTCATTGACTGTCGTTCAGCAACCACGACGACTCTGCCAGTTGTTGGCAGCTACTTGTCAGCTAATCTGATGACTCTTATCGACGCGCAGCTAAAGTACAATAACAACGAGATTTACGCTTACATAGAGCACCTGGTGCGTCGAAACGGAGACGCTGTGCCGAGAGGGCCTTGTGTCTCGGCCCGAAGGGGGCTCGGGACCTCTGTCGGGGAGGTAATATTCAGAGCGTGACGGGGAGGAGAAGAATAGTGGTCGCAGACTATAGGATAGACAAAGAAGACGCTTCATCGTGAGAGACAGAAGCAGACGGTCACACAGGAGGTCGAAGAGAACGGAGAGCATGTGTGCTTATGAGCAACATAGGATGGATTTCAGAATCATTATTTACACCGGAGGAATCCGATGAGCTATAAAGCCCTTTTTGACAAATGTCCAGGCGAAGCAGTGAGGATGACCGAGGATATACAACATTCACTGTCATTATCGTCAAAGACAAAGACAGACCGTTGGGGCAAGTGCTGCTAGCGAGCACCTTCGATTAGGCACGGTTGGCTATGTACGGTGCGAAAGAAGTTCAACATCCTGTACATACCATCCCGGCACGGCACACGAGGGGGTGGGTGGCCAGCACCACGCCCGGCAGCCTTTGCGTACCTGTTGATGATGTTATACACATCCAAGGGGAAGCCAATAACCGGTTCAGATAGTCCCGTGTTCGCCCTGAGCAGGAATCGAACACGGGTCCGCCGGGTTTATATCCCTTAGATAACGCGCTCACCACGACACTCCAGCTCACCTGTATGCATACGAGCGGAAAGTAGCCACATTGGGTAAAACACCACATTTGTGAATAAGGTCAGTTGACTGAAACGTCAAGGCTGTCCTTGCATCTCAGCAACAGTTTAGAAACGAATCCTGTTATCACCTTTTTTATTTCACCAAATGTAACGTTGTGGGGGTTGCTGTGTTCAGGCATTGGTGACCGGGGCTTAGACCATCAACTTCACTGCATTTGAGAGCCCGGTTTAGTGAGGGCGATTGCGACCCAGATTCAAACCCAGGTTCTCAGCGCTCTGTCCTATATCGCTCTGTCCATCTGTCCGCCTCTCTGTAAAGGGAGGGGGGGGGTACCCCGGGGGGGGGGGGTCCCCTAATACTCTCGCAAAGATGATCCGATATAAATCATACGATATGTATGTTTAAGGTTTTGCTGGCTGGGTGGGTGGCTGGAGGGGACGGACGGACGGACGGACGGTCACGTGCTAAGGATGTGCGCGTTGCTAGTGTCGAAGGACATTGCAATGCAGTGTCGCAATTAGGAGACAAAGGCGGCCGGGCGCGGTGCTGGCCACCCACCCCCTCGTGTGCCGTGCGGGGCTTCATAGGTGCTACTCGCTAACAGCACTTGCCCCAACAGCCTGTTAAGGCTACACGGGGGGAATCTTTGTCTTTGTTAGAGAGATGTGAAGATCTGCCCCCTCCCCACGCCACCCTCCGACACTCACGCGCCCCCAATCCCGGCAGGGCTGCTATTTGACTCACCACGGTGAGATAGTAGCACCATTGTGATTAATGTCGTGGGCTCTAGTGGCTGCGGGGGTCACGTGAACATAAACATACGAAATGTATTTCATCCAGCAGTGACAGTTCACTGCTGGGAGGAAGGGCACCACAAGCCGTGTTTGTTACGGAAGTTGCTTGACCATATTTCAGAGTCGGTTTGTGAATTGTTGATCTGTACATGTACGGATCAACAAACATCGATTACCGCGTGCACTGTTTTATGCATGCATCGTGAGCTGGCAAGATTGGTGTTAACTCTGTGAATGAATGCATCGTCACACGCAGAGTGTCAGTGCATCCTATCTCTCCGTTGGTCTAAACACAACTCGACTTAACGCCCAGTAACACAAGACAACACTGTGTATAAAGGATTGTAAATGTTGTGGCTTGGCTCTCCAACACACCGGTGTGCTGTACTAGTGACGAATTGGCCACGGTCTGTTGACGTGACAACCCTTACTAGTTGGCTGTGTCGGGTGGTGGCGGGTTTTAACGACACATTTATATATTTACGCGATCTAACCCAAAACAAACCTCGATTGTGGGTGTATAAAGGATGTTGAGCGGTGGCGCTTTGGTAGGCGCACTGCTCTCTGAACCCGGTGATTTTGAGTTCTATTCCCGGCCAAGACGAACTAATATCAGTGGCGAGTGATACCTGAACCGGTTCTGGACACCACCGTCTGCAAAACGGGTGGAGCGATTGACCAGAAACCCACGATTTGATTCAAGGGTCAATTACTTTGACTCATTTGCCCTGTCCCCTGTGCACCGTTTCTCCTTTGGTTCTCTCTCGTTCCTGCCGTTTTCCTCAGCCTCAATCTGACGTCGTGAGCAACAGAAGCATTCTCGCAAGCACGTGCAATCTGACGCGCCTGTCACGGGCCGCAGACATTTTATTGAGTCGACGATCAAATTCCTCGCCACATGCCTGGCTGGAAGCTGTCTGCCCTGCACAATGCAATGTTGTCCATTTTCGTTTCTTGTCTATACAGTCGGTTTTCCTACAACGCCGCGGTGGAAAGCCGCGTTCCTAAAAAAACAACCGCTTTGTGGAAAAATCGCGTTATAAGAAATGAATTATGATACTTAATGTTGGGTAAAGCGCGGGCCGCGATAACACGCGAGATGCGTACGCAGGCTGAGCAAAGACTTGAGGCGCGTGGTTGGTGACGTCGAGAAGCATCCAGCAGCATCCCGCCTTGTGTGACGCTAGGCCGAGGCAGCCGCACGCCCGCTTATTCCCAACTCGCACGACATCATTCTAGATTTGAAGCTTTCGTGACTGCAAGGATTCCTACTCTTTGGGGTTTTTTTTCGGTGAAGTCACGTCGGTAAAAAAATAAAATCAAATAAATGAAAACAACTAAATTAAATCACGACGTTTCGGGCGCAACACAAGCGTCCTTCTTCAGGTGGGGACAACGTAGCGAAAGCACAACCTCAATCAGCATTATTGGCAATTCGCATCGGCGTTGTAAAAACACGTGTTCCCAGATATAACCATCGAGGTATATACAATTCGCCTGATGAAAACTGCACGCGGTGTTTGAGCATCGTATTCGGTGTGCAGTCATCATCATCATCATCCCTTCCTTCCTGAGTTGACGTTATTGTGATGGTGACTCGGTAAGGAATTGATAGCTAACTTCAATAAAGAGGCGGTACAAATAATAATGAATTATGATTATGATGTTTATGCAAACAAAGCCAGGCATGCCCGTGTAGCTTTGGTCATCCGGAGATCTGAGCCGGAGTTTGCGCCATGGTGCATCGTGCCATTATGGCGAGATGTTAACTACCTCGCCTGGTATGCAGGAGGTCGTGGGTTCGATCCCGACCCTGCCGCATGCTGCATATTTGGAGTTTGCGTGTCTCTCCCCGTGGTCGCTTGGATTTTTCTCCGTGTCCTCCGGTTTCTCCCTCCACATGAAGAGTCAACATCACGCGTTTAGAGTATTTGGCTGCTGTACATTTGCACATGATAAGCCATGTGTAAATTTCTAATAGTTTAATAGTATAATAGTCTATCGATACCCACTGGGTCGTTGCTTGTGAATCCGATGCCGGTGCGGTTTGCGGGCGCTGCGTTTCGTTCGCCCGTGAAGGAATAACTCCGTGGCATTGTGAGACAACCTTCAAACGTTAACACTGAACCGTGCCAACGACGTTATGAAGGCGCCACCAGTCCAGCCTCGTCTCACGCTCCACTGATCTCCAGCGACAGTCGCTTCGATTGTCACAGCCTCGGCGCATCGTCGTTGCTAACTTTTATCTTCCCTCTTCGCGCCCCCCCCCCCCCCCCCACCACAACCGCCACCCGCCTCCTATGCCTGCTGGGGAACAACCGGCGGAAGATGGTGAAGAGCGGCGTGCGCACGACCTGCAAGTGCCACGGCGTGTCGGGCTCGTGCACCGTGCGCACCTGCTGGCTGCAGCTGGCGCCCTTCCCCGAGATCGGCCGCAAGCTCAAGCAGCGCTACGATACGGCCGTCAAGGTGAGCGCTGGTGATGCTGCTGCTGCTACTGGTGTTGCTGCTGGTGGTGTATCTGCTGGCGCATTTGCCGATGAATCTCATGTCAGTCGACCCCACGGCACCTGGGTCTGTCCCCGTGACCTCCTCCTGCCAGCAGCGAGCCTTCGACACTTCACGTGGCCTCAAAATGCACCTGGCCTGGCACAGGTGCCGTGGTGATGTCACCGTCACTTAATTTGTGTAGCGGTTAGTGCCGTGCTACGCTACGAACCCGGTGACCCAAGTTCGATTCCCGTTTACAGCCACCAACACCGCTAATGCTTATCTGAACCGGTCATGGGTCTCCCTTAGGTCAACTCAGCCTCGAATGAACACCTGGTGCGGTGTGTAAACATCGCCACTGGGAAGACAAAGGCGGCCGGGCGTGGCGTTTTGCCACACACCCCTTCGTGTGCCGTGCCAGCTTTCATAGGTGCTCACTAACAGCACTTGCCCAAACGGTCTGTTGAGGCTACACGGGGGGATCTTTGTCTTTGTTTGGTGGTGTTGGCACCGCCGCCCTGCGAGTCATCTGGGCGAGTTCCTTCAACTCCTCGCCCCTCTCTGCCCAGCGGGGCACGTGGGAAGGCCGCGTGCCTGCTGGGATAAAGTGTGGGCACTCCCGCCTCGTCCGAGACGTCCGCTTTAGCGTTGGAAGAGAAGGCCGAAATTGCCCTCGAGAGAGGGGGGGATTTCTGGAGCTCCCTTCGGCGGAGGCCCGTTCCGCCAGCAGTACAAGAGCGAGTGGCAGACTGTCACACCGCATCCAGTATGCCTCACGCTAGGAGGGTAGGGCACTACTTAGTACGCGAATGGGAAAAGTAGAGTTTTAGTTTGCTGGCATCACCGTCCTCCCAGTTTCTCGGTGTAAAAGTCAGCAGCTAGGATTCTCATTCTACTCCGGTCATATTTACAAGCTGCTCAGGATCCATTCTTATTCTACTCTGTGTCTGTGCCGCTATATTTGGACTTTGTGTGCGTTGACTGTCGTGCATTTTCCCACTTCGTTGAGCACCCGGTAAATATTGAGCGATCGTCTTTAAACTTGCCGTGCTTCAGTTTAACAGACACACAAATTTGGGGTGCCACGGTGGCGAGATGTTAACTGCCTCACGTGGTATGCAGGAGACCATGGGTTCGATCCCTGACCCTGAAACCTGTATATATGGAGTTTGCATGTTCTCCCCGTGGTCGCGTGGATTTTTCTCCAGGTCCTCCGGTTTTTTCCCTCCACATTTAGAATCAACATCACGCGTTTAGAGTATTTGGCTGCTATAAATTTCCACGTGATGATAAGCCAGTGGGCCTTACCTGGCAAAATAAAAAGTTTAGTCTAGTTTAAACCAGGAGGCTTGAACTTGAATACTTGAATTCAAAGTGTCCCCCAAATGCGTGTATGATACTATATGTATAGCATAAGACTATTTGCCGGCACAAATGAAGTAGTGAGGGACTTTTAAAAGGCATTTTATATAGTAGACAAAATAAAGAAGGCACAACTTTGATTAATTATGGCGCATCTCACTGCCAGCTTTCAGCATTGTTTCAAATGCATCTGCTGTTAAACATTATCATCATCGTGTCCCATCATCTATCCGCCGTTGGATGAAGCTTTCTCACGGCCCTGCGATGTGCTAATCTTGCACGCCATCTCCTCCTGCACGCGAGCCAATTTCCTCGCCCCACCTACGGGCTCCCAACGACGAGATCTGACTGTCGTTTAGCGGATACCGTGCCGCGCGTCTTTGTCAAAATCTGAATTTCCCACGAGGCCGAGATGCACGGCGGGACTGCGCGACTTCGCACGCCTCCGTCCGACGCGAGAGCAAGGGCCGTTCACCCGGTCAGTCTCGTGACGACACTCCAAACCACAATTACCCTAATTTGAAAGTCCATATACACAGCCGCTCGACGATAAGTGGCACTCGACTGCGTCACACATCCGGATCAAATGTTCAAGAATTGAAAATGCTTTAAGAAAAATATATATATATATTTCCAAAGTGGCTTATTCCCCCGTGAATTATTTGGGAATTTTTTCCGAGGTGTGGCTTTTTTTAATTTGTGTGGAATACCCGATTATAAGGGGTGGCGTGTGACGGCACAGCGGTTTTCCCACTGCACTATGAACCCATTGGTCGTAGTTCTATACCAGCGGTCCCCAACCTTTTAGGCACCAGGGACCGGTTTCGTGGAAGACAATTTTTTTCACGGACGTTTGTTTTTTACTCATTTTGGCTAGGGGTTAGAGCTTGTGGGCTTACCAAAACTGTGACTGAGACAAGTGCGTAGTGCTAGAAAGAGGCGCGGACGGAAGTGGTGAATAATAAAACAATGGGCGGGCATCGCGCGAACACGACCACGGGGAGAACTTGCAAACTCCAAATATATAGGCATCAGTCGGGATCGAGCCCACGATCTCCTGTATACCAGGCGAGCTAGTTAACATCTCACCATCGTGTTGCCCATAATGTTGATACGATACCACGGTTAACAAGAGTGGCAGGTGATAATTGAACTGGTCTTGTTCTCTGCTGACTGAACATTATGGCTGCTGGATTCAAACACAGTGTGTTAATCGCTACACCACCGCTCCACCCGCTCGCGAGAGCAGCGGTCGCGGCCCTATGAAGCGGCACCGATGGTTCGCACGGTTGGCTGTGTATGGTGCAAAAGAAGTTCAACGTACATACATGCATACGTACGTCGAACTTAAGTCGTCGAAGCCCCCGAGTGCAACGACATTCTAGGGCTTGGGATGCCGTCGCACCACGGTTGCGAGATGTCAATTACCTCGCCAGGTATACAGGAGGCCGTGGGTTCGATACCGACCCTGACACCTGTATATTTGGAGTTTGCGTGTCTCTCTCCCTGTGATCGTGTGGATTTTTCTCTAGGTCCTCCGGTTTTTCCCTCCACATTTAGAATCAATATAACAAGTATATTTAGAGTAATTGGCTATGATAAATGCCCACGCGATATGCCACTTTATTGAGCTAGTATTTGTGGCCAGGTCGCTTCTGAAAGAGAGCTACATAGTTCAGTGGGCCCTTACCTGGTCGAATAAAATATATTGTTTTAGCTTTAGCTTTGGCCGCGCGAGCGAATGGCAGAAGGGGCGCATGGTGGCACTGGGAGGAAGCACCTCGGCACGAGCGATTAGCAAAGTGTTTTTTGACGTTTTTATTGCAACAAAACGAGAGTCCGACACAACACGCCGAAAACATTTCGGTGAACAGGGGTACAGAAAATCCGCAGGTAATCCATTTCGGGCGCGACGGAACCGCACGAAAATGGGGGCGGGGTGGGGGGGGGGGTAGGAGGGAAGAAGCGGGGATAGGCGACCCCCCGCTGCTGCCTCCAGCCAAGTGTGGGAGAAGATGAAGATTTAAATGGGGGGGAGGAGCGGTGGGGGGGAGGTGGAGTGCAATTAGCTTTGTGTTTAGGTCAAGCAGAGCTCCTACCCCCGGGCGCTGCAGTACGAACGGGGGTCTCGCGTCTCGCCCGCCACGTTGAGATCAACTCTCGGGCCCCACCCGTTGCAGTTTCGCCCGCGGACTCCTGCGTTGCCCTTTCGTCGTTGGCCACCACCCCCCTGCCAATCCACTTGCCGGACTTGTGTACGTGCGTATCGTACACTGAACTTCTTTCGCGCTGTACATAGCTAACCGCGATAATCGGAGGTGCGGGGAAAGGAGAACGAAAAGGGGCCTCCCCCGTGGTGCGCCGGCCACGCCGATTGCCACGCCGAGATGCCGCAGGCCGGTGGAGCGGGGTGGGGGGGCGGAATTGGCAATTGATTTTCACTGACATTAGCCATGGCTGAGAGTTTGACTAGCACCCCCCCCCCCCCGCCCCCCCCCCCCCCCCCCCGGCAACTCCATCGTTCCTGGGATGAGCAATGTATTTGTTTTGGTTCAGAAACAAGAGCCTCCCTTCCGGGTGCACACACAGAGAGAAACGCCGTCGGGCCTGTAAGATCGGCGGGCAGGCAGCGGCCGTCTCCGTCACCCTGAGCTCATGTTGGCATCGAGGGTCGCGCGGCTGAATTGATGATTGCGTACGTTAGAGTTTTACGCAATCACGAACGATGTAGATTTAGATTGCATTCGCGTGAGCCTGAAAAGGCCCCAATGAGCTGTCAGGCTGGAAGGAACGGTGACCGACGGTCAAGAATAGCAACAGATTGGCTTCCCAGGGACAGAACGTGCCTGAGAGCATGTGCGCAGTGGAGATGGAGCGACGAATTTAGCTCGCGTGCAAGTGCAGGTGCTAGGCGGATGGTTACATCGCAGGGATCGCGAGAGATGGCGGCGACAGCTTTGGGGAGACCTTGATCCAGCAGCGGATTGATCGTGGCTGTTGCTGCTGATGATGTTGAATGGAATACATAATCCGTTAGGACGAGTTAACAAATCGAGGCTGCGTCTCTCGCTTACACAAATGCCCTCGTGCGCCCGACCCAAAGCTACGTTTCCAACCGCAAAGTGTCTCCGTGTTGCCACAGCCCGAAAAATCCGCTGACAAAATCCACTGACAAAATAGCCATTTCACACTCAACACACTCACACACTCCACTCAACACACACACACACAGACCCCACGCGGCCCCACGCACTCGCTTAAGAGCCGTTAGCCGCATTGCGTGCTTTCTCACGGCACGGGCGGCTTATGACGGCTGGGCCGTCAGGTTCATTCATGTCTCATCTTGGTCGCGACGTGAAAATGACTAATGTACGGTCGCCTACAGCCGGTCACTCACTCAACGATCATTGACCAACCGGCGTTTACTCGGCACAGGTATTATCTGGGCTTAATCTCTCACTGGATATTTTGTTTTGTCCGGGTCGCTGGTATATAGTCTGGAGCAGGCGCCACGTGACCCGTGGCCAAGGCCGTAGCAAGAGGCATACCTGATGCGGTGTGCTGGATGCGAACACTTGTTGACCCATCCCTACCGGAGATCAGTAAAAAAATCGCTTCGTAGCTCGTCGGATTCCTCCGACAGTCTAAATCAAGATCCTGATTCAGATTACATTTTATGGGTTGCCGACGCGGAATGACCCGGATTAATTAAAATCCCTGGGAATTAGGATCGATGTTTATAAATAAAAAAAATCTTATTTTTGTTTGCTGTCGGTTGTGTCTTGCGACGGCACGTCCAATACCTCATGCTTTTGCTCCGAGATCCCTGTGAGTGACCTGTTATCCGCACGAGCGGCGCTGCACTCTCCACGTGCCCTGACATAGAGGTTGTTCGCTGTGTGGCAGTCCAACCAACGTTTGTTTTCTTTCTCAGAGCTGTAATGTTCGCTAAGCTAAGTTTAAAAAAAAAATTGACGTGTATTATATTTGGTAGGTATGTATGTTCCATTTATTTCGCACCGTACATTACTAAGGTGAAGGGAGAAGCACAACAAATTAAACACAAAAAGCACTTTGTGAAGAAATTGGTTATAAATTTGGGTGCAGTCGTCGGTGATAGGGCCAAGATCATCAACGCATTGCGCTGGAGAGCCCAGCCACAGTGCAGCTAACCTCTTCTCATGTGTTTTATCACGATCGCTGAGCACAGACCCAAAGGTCCGAAACGCCAAACTACCGGAAGAAAACAGCACCATTGAAGCTGTGAAAGCTTTAATAGAGGGTTATGAGGACTCGAGAAAAGAGGCGGTGGGACGAAAATTGCAAAGCCGAGTGGTGCATGCAAAGAATCAGAAAGTTGCAGTTGCAGGCTGCGATCTCTGAGCCACACGGCCGCCTCATCTCTCACGGCCCCTGACCAGAGCCGGAGTGACAAGTTTGGCGCCCAGGTTGTTCGGGAAAGGCACAACTATTCTTGCACTCCGCCAGCACCAAAAATTTCAGCCACCGGCCGTCACTTGTCGCTTCGTATCCAAAAAAGTTATCTTCCCATCCAGGCGGTGCCCCCCCCCCCCCCGCCACCTCGGGAGGTGCGCTTACCCCGGGTGGCCCCCACTCCCCCACCCCCCAACCAGGCCCCCACCTCCCCCGACCCCCCCCCCCCCGAACCCCCCCACTCCTGCCACCCTTGTCACGGCACTGACCGAACGCGTCCCTCTCCACCTGACCCCCCCCACCTGACCCTCCCCACCTGACCCTCCCCACCTGACCCTCCCTACCTGACCCTCCCCATCTGACCCTCACCGCCTGACCCTCCCCACCTGACCCTCTCAACCCTGACCCTCTCGACCCTGACCCCATCCGCAGGTGCTGAGCGTGAGCAACGAGGCGGCGGGCGAGGGCTCGCTGGCGAGGTCGCGGCGCCCGCCCGTCAGCGAGCTGGTCTACGTCGAGGACTCGCCCAGCTACTGCCGCGCCAGCCGCTTCTCCCCGGGCACCGCCAACCGCAGCTGCCTCAAGGGGCGCAACTGCGACAGCGTGTGCTGCGGGCGCGGCTACAACACGCGCGTGCACACGGCCGAGCAGCCGTGCCACTGCCAGGTGCACTGGTGCTGCTACGTGCAGTGCCAGCAGTGCTCCAAGCGCGAGGAGATCTACACCTGCAAGGACGGATGATCCGGCCGGACGGCCCCCGGCGGGCCCCGGTGCCGCCTCGCCGACTGGGCGAGCTCCGTTCAATGCCACCGTCGAACGGAGAGGGGGGAGGAGGGTGGAAGCCGCGCCGGCGGTGCCGGTTCTGTCCGTTGACTTCACAGCCCCCCCCCACCCACCCGCTCGACGCGACGCCGGAGCCGGAGGCAGCTCGTGCTTCCGTTTCACTTCTCGGCGATGCGTTCATCGAACGGAGAAACGAAACAATTGGGGGGAGCGGGGGTGGGATGGGGGGGTTGGGATGAGTGGCCGGCGTTCTTCCACTTTGCTCTTGTTTCGTAGCGACGACGGAAGACAGAGAGAGAGAGAGCAGTGCGACGGACGGTGAGCGAAGGCGTCGTCGGCAGGGGGTTTGTGGACGGACCAACAACACAGGCACCGACGCCGGAGCCAACCACCCCCCCCCAACCCTGCCTCGGTCTCGTCAAGCAGACGACTCGGGCTGAAGGGCACCCCGCGGGGTTGCGCAATGGCCGCACCGGCAAGAGCACGAACTCGGCACGCGGCGCGTGAGAGAGGGCCCGGCGTGACCCGGCGCAGGGACGATGCTCGCACCGCCAAACTCGTGGAGGACTCCGGCGTCGTCGCTCGACCGCTTGCGCCCTGGCGGACGGCGTCTTCGTTGTCGTTGTCGCCGCCCGTGGTGGTGGCGACGCTGGTGGCGCTGGTGACCCAGTGCCCGGCTGCGGGGACGTGGAGATGAACGATCGTGTTGTGCTGCCGCACCGAGGGGCCGAGTGGCTCGGTCTCGACGTGTGTCATTCCGCGAGTCGTTCCTCGGCAACGTAGCGGCAGGAACGATGCGGGTGTGTTCCAGGGGCACCAGGGACGCCAGGGGCGCGTCGCGTTTGGGTACACGCATGGAGATTTGCGAATTATGCGAACGAAAATGTACACGCTGTTTCATGTAGGTTATTGGGGGGGGGCGAATAAAACTGTGCAAACGACACAAAAACCCACGAGAAATTATACAAACGAGACGGTAGAAAGAATGGGTTCTCCAGTCGAATGGCAGTCGTGAATAATGGCGATTCATCGAATCACTGGGGGTGTGGGGGAGGCAAATGAAATGATCTCCCTTGTGTGTCACAATTCACCTCCCCCCTCCCCGCCCCTCCTGTGTCAGGACCGATACAAAACCAGACGAATACCTAATTGATCGTCAGGTTCCCGGAGTTGAAGGGTGTTTTGTAGAGCCGGGTGTAAACTCAAAAGACCATGCCAGTCCCAATTTGCAAGAGTGGCCCGGACCGTACTCGTATCACGACTCAAACGCAGTTACGATGCCTCCCGTATGCCTCATGTACAAAGGAGTGAAAACGCTTTGGAACCAGGATACTCATCTCGCGCAGGCTTGTGCCTGTTGCTCTTATAGAGGTTGTCTTTTTGGGGGGGGGGGGGGGCTTAGATCGCGTAAATATGTATTTGTCGTTAAACCCGCCGCCACCACCCGACACAGCCGATGAGTCAGGTTTGTCACGTAAACAAAACGTGCCAATTAGTTACTAGTTCAGCACCTCCGGTTGTGTATTGGAGAGTAAACCCACGACATTTGCAATTTGAGTACGACGTTTCGCTGGTGATTACATACAGCTTCAGAATTGTGCCTTACGCGGCCTACATGTTAAACTACTCTTGTGAAACTTAACCATCCCGAAGACGAATGCACTTACTCGAGTGGAGATGACTGCACAGTACTTGTAGACAGGGAAGGGCTTGACATCCTCGAACAACGGCTTGGGATACAGCAACTTGGGATACAGAATTTTTGGACCGCCCAGTGCGAGTTCAAACATGTGAATGAATGTTTCCAGTCATACAAACAAAATACAAAAATCCTCCATGTATCCTTTCAACAGACAGTTGGGGCAAGGACTCAGAGCGAGCACATATTAGTCATACAAACATACGTATTCATATGTATCATATCCGCTATTGCGAGTTCACGCGAAGACGATGTGGGTAGGATAAGAAAATGTGTGGATTGGAGGAGTTTTCTTCTACCTTGCGGTGAATGGTAGCACCTCTCCTGGCTTCAGAGTTCGCGTAAACCCATCACGTACAAGGCACCCGGATAGAAACGTTGATTCGTACTCACGCCATTCACACATGGCAAGCTTAGAGAGTCGATTTCAATCAACGAATCGACGTGTCATTACACCCCCGTTTTTATACCCTTCGAGCACCTACGAACGCTGGCAGGGCACACGACCGGGGGTGGGTGGCCAACTCCAAGGGTCACTGTGAATGTGCCGTTCTTACGTAGCGCAAATATTACACCACGAGGCAAGGACGATGATGACGACGATGGACGATGATGATGACTCGCGATCAACTGCGTCTTTTTAAAGCAAGGACTGTCAAAGTGGTGTCCACTTTTCACTTTTAAATTGCATATCTTCTACATCCGATACAATGGGGGGGTATATCGTCCCAATGCTACGGTTTCTGATTGGTTCAACTGAGTGATGTTTGGTAGAGTGATGTGAATATGTGGGTGGTTCACGGACAATTCCATCCTGACCCTGACGATACCTGCTGTATATTTGGAGTTTGCCTCTCTTCCCGTGGTCTCGTGGATTTTTATCCGGGTCCTCCGGTTTTTCCCTCCACATTTAGATTCAACATCACGCATTAAGAGTATTTGGCTGCTATACATTTCCACGTGATACGCCACTTCGTTGGGCTATCATATGTGGCCAGTTCGCTTCTGAAAGAGAGCTTCTACATAGCTCTGTGGGACTTAACAGGTAAAATAAAATTAAAAGTTTAATTGTTTTTATTCGAACGTTATGCAGACTTCACGAACGTTCATGCGGCCTGCGTACGATGTTGCCCGAATCGTCAAGCAATGCGCGCGAACGTTCCCCGGCAGACTTTACGATTTTTGCAATCTAGACCTAAATTGTGAACTGTCTCAAAAAGGCCTGAAGCGTTTTCAAGGCGGGTGTGCCTCAAATGCGCTTACAAATGTGGTTTGGGAAATTGATAGGCCAAATAAATATTCTTGGTTCTTTCGATAAAGTCACGTAGAAAGGAAATAATAAAATAATAAAAATAAAACATAATGAAATAAAATTCTCACGACGTTTCGGCCACAACGCAAGCAGCCAAATAAGATTTAAATTAAACTATATTTACACTTCCATTCGCAAAATGTCGCACAAGGCCAGAACTAATATCTACACGCCGCTAAGAATGAAATAACTTAGGATTCGCTGATTGGGAAGAATCAATATCTATTATTCAAAATCGGTGCAATCTTTTCTTCTACTTGTAAGGATGTCTATTTGGAAGCCACGCACACCCTCTCTCTCTCTCTACCGATGAACAAGACGAACACAGTACTCACTCGGGCGCCTCAACGATGAGTGTTCCTGTTGTGACGCGTGCCGTGACGTCATCCCGTGACGTCGTCCCGAACAGCTCACACGGTCCACCACGGGGCAGGCCATCGGGAGAGTTCCACCCGCGGTGGACACGCGCGGTACGCTCTGTTTCGGTTGACGTCTTGAACGCCTCTCTCATCATGTGTCTTCGAGAGAGTCCGGAGGTGAACCGGCGAGGAATTTCTGGCCTGTCCAACTGGCATGTCCACGAGATGGGGAGACAGGTTGGGGGGGGGTGAATGATACCTATGGAAACTTCCAGACAGACTGCTGAAATTGCGAGTTGTCTCACTAAACAGTCGGACGCCTTTCTAAAGGGCAGGCTCTGCCGGTAATAAGTGATATTTGAAAAAAGTGTTTTAAACTCGCTTTTATGAAATGTACTCGTAATGGCAGAACTCCACGACTCCAGGAAGTGGCCCCGAAGCTTGCCATAATGTAAAGGGCCGTGGCCAATTACAGCCAAGTTGAGCGTGGACAATTAGACCCAAGCCGAAACATAACATATAAAAAAGAATGTTTAAAAATATAGATTTTTTATGATAGAATATAGTATTGTCATCAGTATGACATAAGTATACCAAGTTTGCAGTCGATACCACTTTGGGAAGTGGGTTAAAATTGAGTTACAATATTTGAGGATACAACAACGACAACAACAACAGAGTGAGTTAAAAGAAAGCGTGTCATAATAGAAAAACCCCTAAAATTCAGTCCCTTCAATCGTTGAGCTTGTATCGAGAAGACGATCTGTACATTTCAAGCGACCGCAAACGACATGATTATTCGTGACGGCACCATGAGCTGCTCTCTTGCCAACGCGGACAGTATTTATACAGAGATATATTGTGTTGTTATTATTCGTGTGTACATAGCCGCATTCTACACGTATAGGTCAATGTTAACGTTATACGCTCTCAATAAGGGTCATTTAAAATTAAAACTAATAGCCGGATGTCTTGCCAGGCAATGCGTGCGCACTTACCTGAACGTATACACGTCTGCGCATGCTGTAGATGCGCACACGCGTACATAGGGGGCCGTCCATAAATGACGTCACGCACCTAGGGGGGGGGGGGGGGTCAGACATTTGTGACGATGTGTGACGATGGGGGGGGGGGGGGGTTAAGAAATGTGACGTCACATCAAAATGCGCAACTTTAAATGAATATAGACAACACGTTCTACTTAATTAAATAGACTTTTTAATAAATGTTTTCTCCTACAACATCAGAGTGCAGCGCCACATTAAATACGCATTACACAGGCAATAGTTTAAAGCGATTTGTTTTTTTTTGGGGGGTGGGCAGAGCTTTGTGATGTCATATTTGAGGGGTGGGTCAAAAATCGTCCACAATCGCGTGACGTCATTTATGGACGGCCCCATACGTCACACGTGATGCAGGTGTATGCTGCAGAAGCTCGCGTGCATGTGTCTATGTGTTCATGAGCGCGCGCGGTAAGCAAGCCGCGTGTTGACAGGCGAAAACGAGCTGCCTGCATGCCGAGAAAGGAAATGTCGGTTAGACTCCCGTTCAGTCCGCATGGCTTAACTATTCGGCGAGAGTAAAATACGTCGGCTTACCATTCCCCGTTCATCTCGCCCGTACGTTCGTGTACTCTCCTAATGTAACGTACAATGCGTATGTTTCGAGCACGTGCACAATGCGTACGATTCACCACGCACGCATTCTCCATTGGAACAACCGCCATCGTATTCATGAAATTTAGTTTCAGTACGTGTCTCTCTCGGTAACGTTGCTGGGTGGGTGATTACGGGTGGACGTTTCGGCTATTCACACCTTATGTGGATTTAACGACGGTTAAGCACTCGGTTGCAGGGTAACATGACGGTTGTCGCTCTCGTGTTCGGTTGAAAGGCAAACATGTCCCGTTTTTTATATATATAACACACACATATACAAAAAAAATACATAGCCCATTTTGACCAAACATTGGTGATGTTTCAACAGGTTTTGTTTTGTTTGGGCCAAAAATCGCCGACCAAATGTCACATGTTTGGAGAGAGTCAACAACACGATCAGCGTCGACCCCCCCCCCCCCCAAACAGGCTCGGCACTTCTGCTACGTGGGGAGAGGGTAACGGCGGGTCACGCGGTCACAGCGGGCTGCCAAAAAGTCCAATCATTTGCACACCTCCAGCAGGTCTGTGTCGTCGCGGTTCGCGCGGTGAATGCTCGCGCTCCCATGCACCGCGGGAGAACGATGGTGACACAGACGGTCCCCCCGTCCTCCCCATCCTCTGATTGGTGTGCAATCCCAGGATTCTGCATAAGGAGTCGGGGGGTGGGGGGGGGCATTGACACAGTGGTCAAGATTGGCACTTTCCAATTGCGGGGCCAAGTGCTTGATTTTGACACCAATATATATGAACGGGAATGATGCCCAAACTGTCGACATTTTGGTAAAGCTCAGCCGACCGAAACGTTGTCATGGTTCCAATACAGTACGAAACACGAGGTGTGAAAGATACATCTTGGGGTCTCGCGTAGAAGGAGGAATGGAGCGATGGCAAAAGGCGAATGCCAAAGTCAACAGTGCCGTTATTCTTTCGTGTGTTTTGACTGACAATTGTTCATGTGTTCAATAACAAAATTAAAATTGATGGTAGAAATCTGGATCAAGGTGACCGAAAATGCAAAGAAAATTGGGGGTAAAAAAAATGTAATTTGGCAGAGTTGGCTCCCAGTGCCATCCACATTGTTTCGTAGCTGAAGAATCGCTCACATGCAAAATAATAATAGCTTTTTGATGATGATGATAATAATAACAACGTATGCTGTGAGCAAGTGCTTTGAAAGAGCCAGACAACGGGCCACGTTCTCATTGTGACAAATGTAAAAAAAAATCCCGTCATTTCGTGATAACACCAACTGGGCAGATCGACAAAAATACAAAACGTGGGTGGGAATCGAACTCGGCACGCCGGCTTCATACTGCAGCGCGCTACGCTATTGGCCACTTGTCGTTGTCACGATGGGAATCTAGTCTAAATAGTTCCTCTGGGATGAGATTAAAACCTCCCGGTGATGGTGATGGACCAAGTGGCCTGCACTTCAGTGGGACCCACGTCGCCCCGGAGCTCAATGTTGTAGCGTGGTCAGCATCGCACCTCCGATAAGCGTGGTTGGCTACGTACGGTGCGAAAGAAGTTCAACATGCATACATTGCATGGGCCCTGCTGCAAAGCAATTGAAGCAGGCCATCCCCGTCCGATATCCACCCCCTCTCTCATCGTAGCCCCGGCGCCAGCTGCCCATCAACGCCTGTGGGCACGCCCAGGGCAGTCGCACCGCCTGCACACTCGACAGCTACGCCACTGATCGATATCTCTCTCCATCGAGGGCGCTGGTTCCTTTTCTACGTGAGGCCACAGATGTGTGTGTGTGTGTGTATATATGTATTGTTTTGTTGTCGCCTTTCATGAGTACACTTCCGACATTGGAGTCGAGCAGATTTCTAGATTTGAAGTTTTCGTGACTGCAAGGATCCATACTCTTTGTTTTTTTCGGTAAAAAAAACAAAGAGTATCGAGCAGATTTCACAGATCGAATGAACAGAACCGCGGTCCGTGAATGTCCATCGCATGTGTGTCCCTGTTGTTTAGCAAATTAGTCTCGTGGGTCATGTTCATTGGTCGGAAACAAATGCAGTACCACTCGAGTACGCGCGTGTTTCAGTGGGTGCAGACGTCGATGCATCGTGGCGTGTGATGTGTCCAGCGACATATACAAGCATATGGTATATATGTGTATGTGTACGTACTCGCGCTGAGCCCATAGTTCACGGAGCGCGTGCAAACAGGCGTAGAATAAGACTATGTACACATTATAGTATTACTAACAGAGATCGTATATAGGTCGGCAAGGTTATTTATTTGGTATTGCATTTTTTGGGCTATAAATTATTTTTCTACCTCGTCTGTATAAACTTTTGCAGGTATAAGATGTACAGTAGGATTATTTTTTTGTAATGTAACTTATTTATATGCTGTACCGTACATGGATTAAGAGTAGGGATGCTTGTAACATAAACACTTAAGAATAACAACAACAACAACAAAAAATACATCTGAAAAAAAGCCCCACGAAAAAAAAATCTCTGCTTTCTCATCTTCCTCGATTGTGTTTCGAACCTTGGCGCAGTTGCGACCGAGTGATGATTGGTGGTGATAGTCGCCCTCCATTCGCGATGCACCGCTGGGAACGCGTGGGTCTGCCCGAGACCTTGCTCGGTTGAACACTGCCACCTTTGTCAGCCAGAAGGTCACTTACGGCATCCACCTGGCACGGGCCAGCACAGTACAAGGTGAAGCATGTCCGGAAACGTGATAACGCCAGTTCTAAACAATAAAAATTAGTCATGACAATACTTCAGCCTTGTGTCAATCCACTGCTGGATGAAGCCCTACCCCCGCCCCCTCTGTGCCGTGTCGGTCACGGGGGTTTGTTTGGCCATGCTTGACCACACTGGGCAAGTGTGGGTGGGTAAAGTGGAGGAGCCACACGGGCTGGTTGAGATATCACGATGTTCAGAGCCATGGTTGGGAATTGCCCTCGGGTCGCCAGGTTCACAATGCAATGCCCTATCCACTGCTACACCGCTCCACCCCCGCACGACGTAGGGCAGGAGTACGTTATTTGTGAAGTTTTATCTGCCTGTTGGAGTTCCAGATGTTAGTTATCCTGCAAAATGTTAGACTGTGAGGTGGCCAAGAGACGTCAGCGTTCAGTGTCACCCCCTTATATACTCAGCTTTCCTCCCCCACGAAGCCAAACGAATGCTCGTGAATGAACTAAACTAAACTTGTTTTTTTATTCTACCAGGTAAGGCCTACTGAGCTATATAGTATTTTTCAAAAGTGACCTGGCCACAAATGATAGCTCAACAAAAGCGGCTTATCATGTGGAAATGTATAGCAGCCAAATACTCTAAGCGCATGTTGATTCTAAATACGGAGGGAAACCCCGGAGGACTCGAATAAAAATCCACGCGACCACAGGGAGAACATGCAAACTTGAAATATACAGCAGCAGGCGTCAGTGTCGGGATCGAACCCACGACCTCCTGTATACCAGGCCAGGTAGTTAACGTCTCGCCACCGTGGCGATTATGGTTATGGACATTTGGCTCCTAACTTAAAGTCTGCGAGTTCAAATCCCGGTCAGGGGAATGGGGGAGTCGGCTCGGCCCACGGGGACCCGTGGTCACTAGATTGAGTGCGGGTATGGTTTAGTGGAAAGTCAACAAACGTTCTGCTTTGGAATGTGGCTTTTGGTCGCCAACAGAGTTTAGCACCGCTCCGCTGCTCGTTCGAGAAGGTATATTTAAAATTGATTGATACGTTGATCGGCTAATTTGGGGCTCTACAGCTGCCCTGTGTATCACCACCACCGCCTACCACCACCACCACCACCATGTGTTTCCGTCACAGCAATGACAGACGCAGAAGGTTGATGCGGTAACGTGTCACGGCTGCACCCGTCGCGAGCCTTAATTAACCCGTCACCACAGAGCGCTCCTCCACAATCCACCACCTGGCCACTCCAGCACGGCGTTCCACATCTCCCGGCTGTGCCTACGTCCAATTGAAAGGGCGTTCATTTGGTAGAAGTGTATGTAGCTGGACACTTTTGACTGATGATCACCAATCAATGTGCTGCTCTATATAGCTCTCTGACCGGGATTTCCTCGGCAGGTTGTAACTGGGCTTGGCTAACCGATGATGGCTAATTATAACAAAGCCATATATAACACCCTCGGCTGGGTATGACGCCCCGTTGGTTGGCCTCCACACGAACTAATATATGGACTCAATTAAGGAGTCCCTGTCGCTCCTGAGTGTGAGCGCTTCGCACCTGGTCTGCTGGGAGACAGACGCTGAGCGCAACACGTTCGGCCTGTCGGGTGTGGGTGGGTAGCCCCACAAAGACAAAGATCCCCCGTGTAGCCTTAACATTATGTTGGGGCAAGTGCTAGATTTGAAGCTTTTGTGACTGCAAGGATTCATAC